CTCAGTGTGCCCCTCTCTCTGTGTCTTCCTGTCTCTCTCTCTGTCCCCCTCTCTCTCTCTCTCACTGTCTCTGTCTCTCTCTCTCTCTCTATTTCTCTCTCGCTCCTGTCTCTGTCTCTCTCAGTGTGCCCCTCGCTCTGTGTCTTCCAGTCTCTTTCTCTCTCTCACACTGTGGTCTCTCTCTGCAGGAGACCGACTTTTTAACTTCCTCCATCCAGCAGCTGAAACTGGTTCAGACCAAATATGTTGAATCCAAGGAGTGTCTGAACAAACTGAGCAGAGACAACGCGGGTGAGTGTTGGTCAGACAGCTGGGGCGGGGCGGGGCGGGGCGGGGGGGTGGAAGGTGGCTGCGCGCGGTGAGTAAATCTCTCAGTGGGATAGCAATCCCAAATTCCAGGTTCATTTTCTGGGGACTGGTGGCAGAGGGTGGAGTTATAGAGAGTCGTGGAATCATACAGCACGGAAACAGACCCTTTGGTCCACGTTGTCCACACCAACCTGCTTTCCCAAACTGAACCAGTCCCACTTGCCTGCATTTGGCCCATATCCCTCTAAACCTTTCCTTTTCATACACTCACTGTCCACGGGTATAGTGCTTTAAGATTGGAGTGTGGCAAATGTCATTCCCTTGTTCAAAAAGGGAATAGGGACAACCCTGGAAATTACAGGCCAGTTAGTCTTACGCCAGCGGTGGGCAAATTATTGGAAGGGGCTCTGAGAGATAGGATTTATGATCACTTGGAAAGGCACAGTTTGATTCGTGATAGTCAGCATGGATTTGTGAGGGGTAGATCATGCCTCACAAACCTTATTGAATTCTTTGAAGAGGTGACCAAACACGTGGATGAAGGTAGAGCAGTGGATGTGGTATACATGGATTTAAGTAAGGTGTTTGATAAGGTTCCCCATGGTAGGCTCATGCAGAAAGTAAGGAGGCATGGGATAGGGGCAAAAGTGGCAGATTGGATTCGGAATTGGCTGACCCTTAGAAGACAAAGGGTGGTAGTGAACGGAAAATATTCAACATGGTGCTCAGTTACGAGTGGTGTACCACAAGGATCTGTTCTGGGCCCTCTTCTATTTGTGAGCCGTGAAGTTATGCTCCAGCTATACAAAAGCCTGGTTCGGTCACATCTGGAGTATTGTGTCCAGTTCTGGTCACCTCATTACAGGAAAGATGTGGAAGCGTTAGAAAAGGTGCAGAGGAGATTTACCAGGATGTTGCCTGGAATGGAGGAAAGGTCTTATGAGGAAACGTTGAGAGAGCTAGGGCTTTTTTCTTTGGAACGATGAAGGATGAGAGGTGACTTGATAGAGGTGTACAAAATGATCAGAGATATAGATAAAGTGGACAGCCAGAGACTTTTTCCTGGGGTGGAGGTAGCTATTACGAGGGGACATAGTTTTAAAGTGAGTGGAGGTAGATACAGGGGAGACGTCAGAGGTAGGTTATTTACTTAGAGAGTGGTCGGGGTGTGGAATGCATTGCCGGAGAGGATAGTGGAGTCGGCGTCATTAGGGGCATTTAGGCGGCTATTAGACAGGCATATGGATGATAGTATAATGTAGGGGTGGAGGTTAGATAGACCTTAGGTTTAGGGTAAAAGTTCGGCACAACATCGGGGCAGCACGGTGGCTCAGTGGTTAGCACTGCTCTCTCACAGCGCCAGGGACCTGGGTTTGATTCCACCCTTGGGCGACTCTCTGTGAGGAGTTTGCACATTCTCCCCGTGTCTGCGTGGGTTTCCTCTGGGTACTCTGGTTTCCTCCCACAGTCCAAAGATGTGCAGGTTAGGTGCTTTGTGTTTCAGAGATAGTAGGAACTGCAGATGCTGGAGAATTTGAGATAACAAGGTATAGAGCTGGATGAACACAGCAGGCCAAGCAGCATCAGAGGAGCAGGAAGGCTGACGTTTCGGGCCTAGACC